AGTACGAGGCTCAAAAGAATAGAAGAAATATACGAGAGGAAACGAGATTCTAGCTTGGAATGACATGGTGGTATGGAAGGATTTCAAACCGCCATATATTTTGAATGCTATATGGGTGGAATACATTCAACACGTGATGTCCACTCGCTTCACGTGATGATTACAGTTCAGTGCGGTGAACTGACACCGGCTTGTTCACGGTTTCATTACTATACACATCGGCAACTCTATTCCATTTATTTTGCACACAAAGCAGCCGGAAAGTTTTTTTATTACATACATCTTTTTTAATTTTTAATTTTTTTATAAATATATTTAACTAATTATATTTTTATCTTGCAAGTTATGATTCTTGGACGCAAGCTAAGCCCTATACAGCTTTTTGTTGAAATGCATGTCCAGAGTGATGATCGCCAAAAAAGATTGCAACAGTTCGTAGATAGCCAAACTCAATACTTTATGGTATGTAGGTTTTCAAATAATTTTTTATAAGTTATAATTTCCTTCAATTTGATGATTTTTTTTTCTAAGATACATATAATAGTTGCTTGAAGAAGAGATATGAGAAAGATCTTTTGATCCATCTGGATATAGATCTGGATTTGTGATTGAAGGCAGGATTGTCTAGTGGTCCTAATAGAAATCAGTTATACGAACTTTCTAACACTATGGTCGAAAACTTGCTGATGACCCGTAGTGTTTCGACTGTTGGATGCTCATAATCGGTTCTGAGCACTCAAACTCCAGAGTTCATCGTGATGACCAATAAATATATAATTAGATGACTTGTTTTAATAAAAGAATATGAACAACTTACTATGGATTATAAAGAACTCTACCGAGTGGTAATGGAGATAAAATCATATAGGGGTGATTGATGTACTCTTTTTTATTGGCCCATGATCTCATTAACGACCAACCTCCTTCTCCTCTAGTGCCGCCTCTATTTTAGACTTACTGTATTTGAACATAAAAATGTTTAAAGTTGTAACAAATATTTAATTTTTATATTATTTTAATTTTGTTATATATTTGATTTTAATTATTTCTCTACTCTTGTTCAATATATTTTTCTTTAATATTTTAAAGTATTAATGAGAGGGTTACTGACGGAACATTTTCATTAGTCTATTCTAGAGAGTTGGAAAAGAATTACTATTACTACAAATATTACTGCTATTGTTAGCTCTCTATCTGAATTGTAAAAGGTATTCTATTGGTAATATGTTATATTTATTGATAAATATATCAATGAAAAAATAAAAACACCAATGAAATTACATATGGTTTTCCTGTTAGTAATATGTTAAATTTATTAATGAATTTACTAACAAAATGAAGTGGGTAGATTTTTTTTTGACACGCTTTGCCTGTTTGTAAATCTATTGATAAATTTATTATTAAATGATTTATTGATAGACTATAAATTATTGATGAGAGTTTTTCCAACAAACTATTTTTATATGTGATCGCTACAGTAAAATATATATCGACGAAAAGTTTCATAAATAAAAATGTTAAATTTAGTAGTGGATAAAACTGTTAAATCTGACGGTGGTGGTGCTTCTTCTTTACTTTCTTCTTCTTATAGGAATGATATAAATTTTATATTATTTTTTATTCTGGCCATAAGTGGAAGTTAATTTTCATTAAGAAATTTAGGTTCTCATAGAAAATATGATTTCGACTCTCTCGCATAAACTCTTAAGAACTAATTTTCTATATAAAATAGTGGTCTCCCAGATGGCAAACCTCTCTACTTTTTTTTTCTCATAATTTTAGGCTATTTAGATCTTTTTATATACCATGTACATATTTAGAACTATAAAATTACTTGTCGGCTATTTATTATTTTAGATCGTTATAATTGTTCAATTTTTGAAGAAAATCATAGTTGTTATTTTTAGTCATAAATAAAAGATTAATATTGATGATGATTTTAAATCTCTTAATAACATATCTGATAACCCGCAGCTCGTTCTTTCTTAAGATAACAAGTTGCAGCAGCATTAAAATAAAACAAAAATATTACTAGAGAATAAATTTCAGAGTCGAAGGTTATTTTCTTCAGCATTAAAGATCACTCGCATGAACACAATGCCCGATTTCTTTTTCTTTTTTTTTTCTTTTTTTTTTCTTCCAGAGATGAATACATTGCTACAACAACATATTAATATACAGAGATAAGCTACTGGTATTAATTAGAAGACCTCAAATAATCATATCTTATATTTAAATGATTATATTCAGTCATTACATCTATTATTTTTCCCCAGTGGCAAGTTCAAATAGCATTAAAAACCATGATTTAAGTCACATACATTGTGTTTCTTGAATTTTTCTGCAAGGAATGTTGTTTACTTGACCACTGCTTAATTTATGGAATGACAAATGAATTTGGTCCTGAATTGTTTAATTCTGCAATGTAAGTTCTTTTAAAGCATATCTTTAATCTCAAATCCCAATAAATTATTATAATGTCATTATTTTGCTTTTATATCTGAAGATATTATGGTAATATTTTTTTTAAATGTTTTTCAAATTATTTTTTGATTGAAATAATATTAAAATAATATTTTTATGTGTTTTTTAATATTTTTTACATGTCAATGTTAAAATATAAAAATAAAAATATAATTTAAATATATTTTCAATTATAATTTTTTTTTAAAAACATCTCATGTACTATCATACCAAACACAAAATAACAACAAAACAATAAAATTATTGTGAATGCGAGGTGTTTAAGAGTATGATAATAATTATTTTTTAAAATAATTTTCATCTAGAAATATATTAAAATAATTTTTTATTTTAAAAATATAATTTTAATATCAGCACATTAAAATATTAAAAAAATTAATTTAAAATAAACAATTTAAATTTTTTTAAAAATACCTTTTAAAATACAATCCAATAAGCCCTGCAACGCCCGCCATTTCCCTTCGCGACCATCATCATTCCACTGCCTGTAGTAACAACTTCGACTCTTTATTTGTGGAAAAATTGGATTTTGTGCACTGTTAAGTGATGATTAATTATACTTATCGATGCAATAAAATGGTCGTTCTTAATTTCTCTCAAAAAGTGCGTGTTTGTTCGCAATAGATAGGAGATTTATGACGCTTTAAATAATAATAATAATAATAATAATGAAATTTGAGATTTATGAATAGGGTCCACCGTCTGGTGGTGTACAAAGGTAGAGAACATTAGAGTAAATATGAAGTGCCACGTCGGAACCATGGAAAGAAGGGGACCGGAGTTAGGCAGTGGCCATTTCCTCTTGTTTCTCTTTGACTATGGAGTTTCCAAGATTCCTTCTTTTCCACTCAAAACGTCATGCAATAACATCCTATGCCCTAAAGAGGAACAAAATTATCCTGAATTGCCATCAAAACATGCCCAAAAGGAGGAATGGATGATTAAATATAAATATTTGCATATAAGACATAGATATATACAGGCCAGATGCTATACGATCATACCCTTTTCTCCTTATTAAATACAAATATTGCACATGGCGTAAATTATTCTGAATTTTCATAATATTTTTTATTTAAATTTAATTTTTTTTTTTAAAAAACATGATCCCTCCC